TTGGACTCCAATAATGAATAGTTTCCGCAAGGATTTGTTTTTTTCAATTATTATTATAAATATCAAATTGTCAATTTTCTTCCAACGAATCCCCAACTAGGATAAGTGGATAACAGAACTTGACTACATCTACATGTCTAGTTGAAGATCTTTAGTGATAAGGAGGATATAAAAGGCTATGACCTCAAAATCCTCTATCAACAATTGATAGATACGTACACAATCTGACATTCTTGAGAAAAGGAATAAGATGTTCGGCAAATTGGCAAATGGTAATTTGTACCTACTCCTTTAGCTTTCATATTTATGTTCAATTGTCTACTTTCAGGTGAACTTTAACTACTTAGTAATTGTTGTTTCAATACTTACTTAGTAATTGTTGTTTTGATGAATACGCGCGGGGGGAGGGGGCATTGTACTATGATAGGTTAGTAAACTTTTTGCGGAAATAAAACAATTAAATTTAAGGAACTCAAAAAGTGCAAGAGAGATATTACGTGGAAAATTCCTTGGCCCTAAACAAGGAGAAAATCATGACCACAAGGGATTTTATGAAAAACTCTTTACTAGAATAAGGCAATGACCTATAACAAACTAAAGACTCTTACTTCAAGTTACTCAACAAACTTAAAGCCCCAAGCAACAAGTCCCTCAATATGTTGCTCTTCTCTCTCTTTCACTTTCTCTCTTCTCTTCTCCTAGCTTCACTCAAAGCTAAAATAGAGTTCACCCAAACTCCCCAATTCCCAAAATACAACTCAAAAAGAGTAGCTTTAATATAAGAACATAAGAACACTCTAATTTGCTAGTGTGGAATAGGACTCTTAACTCGGTTTAAGAAAATAAAAGAAAGAATTATATTTGGGCAAGGGTAAGTTTTTTCAACTGAAATAAGCTGCTAATTATAGGCTTACTTAGCCTAGGAAAAACGCTTTTTGCTGCTTCATCTTGACGCCACTACCCTATACCCACTAAAATTTCCTAAAAACCAGGGCATGATGCTCCTTAATGTACAAGAACATGGGATGGACTAAGTCACAAAGATTAGTCTGCAAGAATAGGCAAGCATGAAATCAAATTTTATTTTTGCAATATAATTCACGAATAAAAAGAAAAATAAAATCCTTTTTAACTCTCAAAAAGATAAGAATTAAAACCAATTGTTTTCCTAAAAATAAGCTTCTTATAAAAATATCTTTTAGACTCATTCCACACAGCTACTTAGAATATAAACTTAGTTCTCATACTTACATAAATCGTAAAACACAAAAATATTTTAGTTTTCATGATTCTCTGATGAAGCATCTACTCCGACACTTCTATTCCTGTTAAGGAACTTATCTTCTCTAGTGAAACTTCTTCTCCGAAGCTTCGGTTCCTTCAAAGGAACTTCTCTTCTCAAGGCTCCAACTCTTAAGCGCCAATTCCAGTCAAGGAACTCTTCTCTTTAGGGATTACTTTGTCCTGTGCTATCTTGTTTCTCATGGTATCCTCGCAAGACATCTCAATTCTCCTATTCAAAGCTTCAGATCACACACTTAAACAATCAAACACTTATTAGTAAGTAAGTAAGTTAGGTTGAGTCATCATCAAAATCATAAGGTCAACAATATTCCCCCTTTTTGATGATGACAAACAAACCAAACTTATTTACAAGGAAACACAGATAATTCGAAAAAAATGAAAAATGAAATTAAAACTACAGAGTTGAAACTACTAGGCCAAAATAAACCTAAAACTTATTTACATATACCTGTTTGTAGAGTAGACATTGTGAAGACTTTGAACATAGACCATAGAATAATTAAGTTTCATTGAGTTTGCACTTTTCCCCCCTTTTGGCATTATCAAAAACCAACACACTTTGCAAAATATACCATAACACAACACCAAGCAAGTGGTGTGTCTTGAGACAGTAAGCATGCATAGATAACAAGTATTCACAAAGCATATAGGCATATTAAACATTGATAACGGCCAAATGTACCATATACGCAAGTCTAGCAAAAGAAAATGTACCCAATAATTACAGACCAAAATAAATCGTTTCCAAAAGCAGAGATAAATAAAGAATTGTCAAAAGAAAGGGGCAGCAGGTTAGAACTGGCTTCAAGAAGCAGTGCTCTGGTAATCATCAAGTACAAGCTCCTCTAGCTTCTTGTTGACCTGAGTCACCACGTTACTAACAATCACTAGTAGAAAACAAGAAATGAGCACCGGTTCAAAACCAGCTTTTCTCATCGATTTTGAACCAGTTTAGATTTGAGGGGTGCGAATAAGTGAAGTTACTCGCACCAGTTCAAAACCGATGGTAATAACATGTATTTGCACCGATTAATTGGTGCGAATAATGCCTTCAATAGTTAAAAAAAAGTTATTCGCACTGGTTTGAACCGGTGTTGTAACACTCTAGAAATTCATTTTCTTTAAAATACCTGTTTTGCTCTTTTTAAAATACGAAATAGGAAAATCTAAGACATTACCGCCACCATTATAACGGCTAAGGCAATTATCAAAGACACACAACGGAAGACTCACTCTAAAAACCATTCAAAACAAGTCAACTTTCAAAAGTCAAACCAAACAAAAGTAAAGTCAAACAAACTAAAAAAAAAAAGTCAACCTACAACTTGGAACCATTGTAGGCCCTTATCAAAACCCAAAACAAATATTAAAACCTTTGCGTTAGTCTCACAAGCAAATGTATAATAATCAAAGCAAATAAAACACATCATATTTTTATGGAAACTAAATAGGATTCACTCTTCACTCATGCCCATCATGAATATGCTTCATCACCTGAAAAGCTTCTCTTTTCTTTGTCCCCACTACTCGCCATTAGAAATGGGTCGTCGTAGGGCCAAGATAAAAATAAGGCCAAACAAACATACAACACACAATCGGCAATGTTCACTACATAAGCGTAAACAATACACACTAAAATGCTTTCATCCTATCAACACACAACTTACCTTATTGCACCTGTTTACAAGCATACAACATACAACACAACCAGCCAATAAATAAATAAATAAATAAATTGCTTAGTTAATTTGATTACGCATTGAACGAGTTTTCCCTCTAACCTGCCCCAATAAAGGGGTACTAACATGGGAGCTAACCGTGCCACTATAAAAGAACCACTCGTAAGTGGCGGAATTCCTGCGCATAATAAAAAGGAAAATACGGCGTCCTGTACTCTCAGTAGAAGCTATGGCTAAATATAAAACCCCATAACTCCCCCCATATGTTCATACTCAAGGTATATACGTTCCAAGAGTTTTGGTGCGTAATCTCTTTCACTTTACGTTATTTACATATTTTAGATTTGGTGATGACTCTCAATCCACAACACGATCAATCATCATCAATCATTCAAGCAATCAAACATACCAATTTAATTCTTGAACAATTAGTGACCACATTTAATTTAATGTTGAACCCTTTTTAAACTATCTCGGCGTTAAATAATACCTTAAGCGCATAATGCACTAGAAATCCTATCCCTCGGTGTTTAGAACACCTTAAGTGCACTTAGGCACCAAAATATAAATTAATCCTCGTGTACATAGACACTTAAATAACTCCTTTCCCATGCTTATAGCATCAATAAAAATTATATGAACCATAATAAAATTCCCTTTCAATATTCCAAACTCAATTAAATATTTATTTTAATTAAACATACTCTCAATCATGCAAATAATAAAAGTGTGGTTCATAATCAACATGCCAACATAATTAATTCCAATCAATAATTCACCTCAAATAATTCATACCTCACAAATCAATCACCAAAATCAATCCAATCAACAATTCCAATCAATACCTATCATGATACTACCTTGGAATTAATTAAACAAAGCCTAGCATGCTCTTACACACTTAAATAATTACCGAGTACGTGAACGTACCTCGAATATGATCACAAGATCGCCACGACTACACAAAATCACTCACTTGGAAGTCTCCTACAACCCAAAATTACAAAGAGACATTAATACATATTCATAATAAATTTCCAACAATATATACACTCTTTAAATCACTTTTAAACCTTCTAAAACATCCTGAAAATTAATTTAAACCACCTACTTTTATTCCCAATTAATGGGTAATCAAAAATCCTTTCAAGAAACATAATTCTAGCCTCTACATAAAAATTACAGCATTATAAAAACTGTTAAACTTGCTGTAATTTAGTTTAAAAACATTAATTTCAATAGTTTTAATCAACTAAAATCAAATTCCATCAATAAACATTAATTTAGAAACCTAGGGTTTTCAATTTGCGGCATTTTAATTCAAAAACTAAACCTGAAAATTATATACATATTGATCATGATTAAAACATCATAAAATCATCATACACACCCAAAATCAATAATTAATCAAGGTTGGATTAAATTAAAACAAAAGAGAGAGAGGTTTTTTTTTTTAAAAAAAAAAACTTGCGAACAAAAGGGGAAGAAGGGGAGAGTGGTCGGCGCCCACCTCCTCGTCGCTGCTGCTATTGCCGCCGATCTGTGGTGGCGGCGACCGGCTGTGCTGGTGGTGGCAGCCGGCCACCGGTGGTGGTATGGGGTGCGTGCGTGCGTGAGGTGAGAAGAGGGGAGGGGGAAAAATTAAGGAGAGAGAAAATAAGAGAGAGAAACATATTTTACCTTTGGGTATTCTCCACCTTAGGCAAAGTCTAATTTGCTCATAAGATGGGTATTTATACCCTCTCTTAAACCCTCCTACTTTAAATTCCCTTTCTACCCTTAATGATTCCTACTCCTATTCCAAATGACATTTGACTTTCTTTAAAACTCCATTGACTTTAAAACTTCCTTTTATAAATTAATTATGCCCCAAAGTTTCTAAATAATAAAATAAAATATTTCCAAAACAATTAAATAAATAAAAATAGACTTTTAATTAAAATAAACCTTTTTAAATTATTAAAATACCATAAATAATTCATTTCGAATTATAAAAAGTACTTCATAAAATAATGTTTTAAATTAATATACGTATAAAAATACGGGTTATTACAGGTGCGAATAATGCCTTCAAAAGTTTAAAAAAAAAAAAAAAAGTTATTCGCACCAGTGCGAATAATGCCTAAAAAATTATAAAAAAAATAAATTGACACATAAACACTAACATATATATAAACTTATAATTTTCATTAATACAAAGCTGTAATATTACAATTTTAGTTGAAAAAAAAAACCAAATTTACATAACATAGCTTAATATTGTAAACAGTAGTGTAGAGGAGATCAGCAGCAGGGGCATAGCAAAGCATGCGGCTGAAGCATAGCAGCATGCAGCATAAGGAGATGATTCATCTCCGTCAACCTTGACGTTCACATTCATCCCACCTGAACAAACCAAAGAAAAGTCAGATGAAGCAAAATAAACAAGAAATGCAGTAGCAACATCCTTGGCAAGGCAGTAGTTGCAACATCCTTGGCATGGCAGCAGCTGCAGTAGCAGCCTTGTGAGGCCATGCACCTTGTGCTAGCAAAACAAAATCACGACCTCTCTATTGAGGACACGATTTGAGTTAAGGCTTACCGTGTACAAATGGCAAATAGGAATTTTAGAACAGACATAAACCCACAACCAAAAGACCCAAAATTTCAATAGAAGCATTATTTGATCATACTTGAACTATATTCTCAACACCACCAATTTTAATAAGATCTGCAATATCTGAACACCACATTGAACTATACCAGCTTGATTATGTGAATCCTTCAAACAAATAAATGTAACATTCCATTTAGTACCAAGGCACCATAAAATAAGAGCTGCTTTGACAGAATAAGACATCACAAACAGCAAAAAGGGCCACTACTGCAGAGAAAAGACTGGTATTATAAAGAGAGAAAACGAAAAGTGAAAAGTAAACACAGGCAACATACCTAAGCCAACCTTCCAAGAGCAAAAGCAGACATTTCCATTAGTTGAGCATCGGGTGAATGGAGCATCTTGGGGTGAAAAGGACATTTCCATAACCTTCTAAGAACTTGTTTTCATCTAATGGAGAATACTGAAAAGGATTATAAAATGTTCAAGATAATGTTTTCGTGTAGATATTATTGTACACTTACAGAGTTGATTTATCACAATGAAAAGGTATAGAGCTAGCATTAAAATTGTTGTAAGAGAGGTCTACATGGTTGAAAGAAAAAATAAAATAAAATTAGAGTCCAAATTACAAAACCATCACAACTAAATCTAAGAATAACTTGTGACATTAAGGTTGGAAGCCCAAACCTACTGTCCAGCTGGGAATGGTTCCAGTTAACATATTGCTTGTCAGAAACCTAAACATAAGTGAAAATTGATAGTCAGATAAATACTCCATTCTAAAAAATACACTCGAAGAAAAATATGGTGAACTAGAATATGGTGAACTAAACTTTACTGATATTAAGCTTGTTCTAGCTTTGTTTCTAGGCTATAGAAGAGGTTTCTACCAGATCTATTTGAGGGCACATCAAAATCTATCAATCAAATCAAGCTCAAGACCATATCAAAAGTAAGGTATCATGTTATAGTATCTCTTTTGTCTTTGACATGAACCTTCTTAAGATTAAATCTTTTTATTACCGAGTATATCACTTGCCATCATACCACATTAGTTAACTTTGTTCCTGCTTCATAAAATGCAATATACTTGAACCAAATCTAATAGAGTAAAGGGACACTAGTGACACACCTTGATTTGAAATCAGCTATTTTCTCTCCTAAAAAATATTTATCAGAAAATGTAGACATGTTGCTAAGAATTTTGGCAATCACACTATTTACACAGCCAATTATATAGCCTTTATTCCATTAAGAAAGTAATCTTATCAAAGTTTTATGTTATATCAACCAAGCAAAAATAACAAAGTAAATATATGCCAACATGTATTATAGTTTACTTATCAAGCTTATTGAGAAGTTAGAAGGATCCCTTAGATGGTCCAGATCTAGCTCAAGATTATAGCACCTAATTGAGTAACATAATAAAATCATCCAAATACTCATAAATAAAGATATTCTAACTAAATTCAAAGATTATAATCAAAATACAAACCCAAGTAGTAAGCACTCAATCCAAAATAATCTTAAAACATTATTTCCCAAAACAAAAAAATTCACATGTGCGATTTGCAAAATTCACAAAATCAGATAGTAAATCGCACTAAACAATAACAAAAATAATAGCAACAATGAAAAAGGCGAGAAATATGAAGAAAACCTAGAAATAATTTGGCGTTAGAACGAAGATGTTGCAACAAAACGCACAAAAAAAATTGCATTTAAAGGCAAAAATAGACCCTCAAATTGATTAAAAATCAAAAACCCTAGATTTCAAATAAAAGAGAAATAAACCTTCGTGAAGAGATCCACCACCATTTCAAGGATCTAGCGCTGGTAAGGAAATAGACCCTTACGATGGACGTCGCAACCATCATCCTCGCCGCCACTTGTGAATGAGGAGAGAAGAAATCGAGAAAAAGAGAGCTGAGAAGAGAGTGAATGAGAGGGTGAATAAAAGGACAAAAGAAATAGAGGGATAAAAAGCAAAAGAAGAGAGTGGGCTAGCGGCAGTGGAAGGGGCGACGGTGGAGTACTCAAGGGAGAGAGAGATAGAGAAAGGGAAAGGGACCGGAGAAAGAGAAGAGAAAGAGTGAGAGTGATAGACAAAGAGAAGGGGTAGGCATGTGTTTGGTTTTTTATTTTTTGGGATTAATGGCACCGGTTAATCAATGCCTTTAACTTAGTTTTAAGCCAATTTTTAAATTTTTGGGTATGGGCTTGTGTTTTACGCACCGGTTCTTAAAGACCGGTGCTCATTTGTTGGTGCCCATTTGTGTTTTTCTACTAGTGAATGTCAAGCTTTGTCTTCTCATCACTTGTGACGAGCTTCTTCAATTCACCATTCAGGATGAGCATGCTCTTCTTCAAGTCCTCCATTTTCTCTTGTGACTTCTCTTGTTCTTTGAGCACATTCTTAAGAAGATCTTTGATCTCCTTCATGCTTTCCTCCAGCTCTAAGGAGCCTTTGGTGGAGAACTGAAAGCAACAAACCCTGTTCCTAAAAATACATGTTTGGCAGAGGTAGGAGTATTGGAAATCCTCTGCAGTTCCTCTTGGACACCAGAAAGATCAATGCATAAGGGCATCTTAGCTTGCAATTCTTTCTTTTTCATCAACCTCAGACTCTTTCTTTTCTTTCCCCATGTTCCAGTCACTTCCTCCACACTCTTCTTGTCTTCCTCACCCTGATCACTTTCAGTCTCTACTTTATCTCTTCCACAACACTCTCAATCAACCCGATTGCCTGTTCTCCTCCTACTTCCCCCTCAGCTATAACACCCCCAAATCTCCCTCTATGGAAATACTAGTATAATACGTATAATTATACCGTAGAGACAGACTTAGGCGTATTACTGCTACGTGATTACGCAAGGCTACTCAAAATACTTAACTCAATAACAAACTTGCAACGGAAAACTCAACTCTTCTTTTATTAATACTTATAAAATAGTAATAACCATTGTCATGAGTACTCAAAAATAGAAACAAAGAACAACATTCCTAACTAGGTGAAGGATATCCCGGGACTCCCAAATGCTCATTTATTGACTCCACCTGAAAATAGTCAACAATACTTACCATTAAGGTAAACAGGGGAAACCAAAACAAATAGGAAATACGAATTAGCAAAATATGCTAAGTACGATAAGTGCAAGATAAGTAAACTCAATTTATTTGCAAACATGCTTTTAAAACCAATTACAATAATTAATCCAATAATTCCAAAACTCATGATTCAAAACCAATTCCAATAATTCCAAAACTCATGATTCAAAACCAATTCCAATAATTCAATAAAACAATTTATAAAACCAATTCCTCTTTTTAAAACCAATTCCTCACCCAAGTGTGCACACCCCCCCCCCCCAAGTTAGTGTCTTTATATTGAAAGGCTATCCTTGAGGAAAGACTCGGTCATACAAAGTCCAAAGTCTTATCAACCAAATCCGCATAGTAGGATTACTATCATCATGCTTGTAAAGCTTAAGTAATAATGATTCAATAAAACCTCTTTAATTCAATAATTCCAATCTTTATAACAACTCAATAACTCCTTTTTATTTAATTCAACATTCTTTCGAAATCAACCTTTTAAAAACATGATAAATAATTTAATCATTCAAAACATGATAAAAACCATTCCTTCAAACTTATTTATTAAAACCAATTTCTTTAAAACATACTTTATTTCATAAACCATAATTCAAATCAATTTAATTAAAATCACACAAACATGCTTATTCATTCAATCAATTTCAATGGTATCTAGCCACCTAAACGTACCTTGATTTAGAATCTCAATCAACACTTTGCACTTTCAAAGTTCAATCACGAAAACACCTTGCAATTAACATAACCATAAGGTTATCATAACATCCTTAGACATAAACCCAAATCTAATGTGCATGAACTATAAAACTCTTTTAAAAATAATACTTTAATATAAAATTATAACTTTGAAATAAATATTTATATTTTAGAAAACTAACCATGAATAAAATAAAGGAATAGGATTAAAGAGAATTGAATTTGCGTTGGAAAGAATAGGCAGAACTTGCAGAGGCTATAACTTCTTCAATATAACTCCGATTTGGGTGATTCTTGAGCCTAACCTCAAGGAGTTTTCGAGACGAACAATTTTTTATGAAATATAAAAACCCCAAAACTAACCAAAAGTTCCCAAAAATTGGCTCCAAAGATATACGGGCTGATTTTCTTTTAGAAAGAGGAAAAGAAAAGTAGGAAAAGGTTGAGGGAAAAGAAGAGTAAGAGAGAAGAAGAGAATTGAGTTTTTGGTGAGAAGAATATGAGAGGTATTAGGGGGTATTTATAGGCTCATGAATGAAAGAATTAAGGTAAGATTTTGTAAGAAGAATTATGGTAAATTTAGTTTAAGGAATTACTTGGAAAAGAGAGTTAATGAATTTAGGAAAGTCTAGTTTATGGTGATTAACAAATGAAGAAATAAGGAAAGTATATAGTCATGAAATATTAAATGGTAAATGGCTTAGCTTGGGGAATAATCAAGAATGATTTAAGACAAACAAATTGTATGATCAAATCTTTGTGAGATGGAAATAGGAATTAAGGAAATAAGGAATTTAAGGCAGATAATTAAAATACAAAACTAACAAAATAATTAACCCAAACTTAACATAGGGTGGCCGAAAATATTAAGCATATCCATGCTCATATTTTCAGACCTCCACTACTAGTTTTAGGAAAATATTTGCTAGATTTTAAGGATTAAAAATGATTGTGTAAATAATATATTTTGTAGTAAATAATTAATTAGAAAATATCAACTTAAAACTAACTTAATTAACTAATAAAAATCAAATTTTCTACACTTAGAAAATCCAAAAATCTCATTAATTAATTTAGGAATTTCGGCCCTTTAATTTATAAATAAGAAATATTATTTTTGTAAATTAAAATATCCGAAAAATATATATATAATTCGGTTTTTATTAAAATAAATAGACAATAAATCTTATCCAAAACAATCATTGAGCTTTGAAAATGTTGTTGGTGCCAAAATTCAAATATTATTTTGGCTCCAAAATTCAAATAGTAAAATAAATTACTAAAATACCCTTTTTAGAAAATACTAATTAATTAATTAATTGGAAAATACATCTTAAAAATACGGGGTATTACATTAGCTGATGTTCCCACTTCTTGGGTTTCTTAGCAACCTTCACAGCTTCAAAACACCTATTCACAACAGTGAGATGATGGTTATCAAGAAATATGGATTGCATGTATTCGATGTTTTTTAGAGGTAAAGGTTTAGAGTTGGTAAAAGAAATGCCAAAGCTATCAAAGACAGTAGTGAGAAGGTTGGCATATCCCACCTTCCAACCTTTTGGAACACATTGGTTTAGGTGTTGAATTATAATGGAAGGGAAGTTGATAGGGATTTTTCTGGCTGGGTAATAAATGAGGGTTGCATCAAGCTTGTTGGCTGCATCTCTTTTCTGAGAGCGAGGGATTATGTCATTGAACACAAATTTGAAAAGAATTTTATCAATTGGGGTGAACAGGTTATGGTTTATGAAGGTTTCTTCAGGATTTCCTCCATAACATTCCACAATCTCATCAATGTTAGCATTAGGCAAGGGATTTTGGATGGTATTTTTGAATTGCATGTCGTAACCCGTATTAGACACATCGAACAGCTCAGCCAAATACACAGCATCAAACTCAATTTTGGAGTTAAACACCTTACTAGAAATCTTTCCCTAAAATAAGAGAAATTCTTATAGAAATCCTTCAAAGCATCCACATACATACTCCGATTGAAACATTCACTCATCAAATAAATCTAATTTTAAAATTCAAGCAAATCAAGAAATTCATGAAGTTTAACAACTTTACATTAAGTTAGATTAAGTACCAAACCTGTCACATAGTGCTCGGCACTCTTTTCTAGCCTCTTCATGGCCGGAGACTTCTCTTGGTAAGGAACTCCCATCTATTGTATTCTTATCTCCTCTTCTTGCACTTCTTCTTGCTTTCTCTTATGAGAGGAGCGAGATTCATATGGAGATTTGATCTTTGGTGACTTAGAGATCTAATCTGTTTGGTTTTCCGATGGGATTTCCATGGTGGTGTCTTGGGTATTGTCAAGGTTTGCTTGGTTTAGGGTTTTGTTTTCGGGAGAGATATCCATGGGAGTGAAGTTTTGATCGGTTGTGATGTGGTGAATTTTGAGTGATGTAAAATTTGGTGTGGCTGACATCTTTTTATGGTGGAAGTAAATTGGTGAAGCGAATTTGTGAGGTGTCGTTTGGAATAGTTGAGGTGAATAATGACGATTTGATGCTTATTTATTGCTTAGGGAAGCGTTAATTGTATTTGAGTAAATATGTTGCATGTGGCTAACTTTTTTATCAACAAAGATTGAGATGAATATTAGATGCATTCATCAGATAAATTTGTTTTGATAGAAAAATTGGAATTTTGAACGCTAGATAAGTACAACAAATTTGATCTAGTATTTTTGAACAAAGAGGACTTGTGAATGCAACTTGATACACAGAACAATTCAACAAGGCTCATGCAATCAGTTAAGGATTTTCATAATCTATGCCAATATTAATAAACATACTTTAAGATATTGTTCTTGCTCACAAACATATCTCAACTATGTACTTAAACATATTAATTTTGTGCACTATTTATTTAAAGCACATCAGTTAGGGTTTCATACTTGGGGGAGCTTGATGCATTTTCTTAGTATAACTTAATCATCCCAAGTTCCATTCTCATCTTCTCATGCCTTTCTCTATCTAAGGGCTTTGTTAAAATATCTACAATTTGATTGTCAGTTTGGCAGAAATCTAACTTAATCAAGCCATTTTCAACATTATCCTTAAGGAAATGATGCCTTATATGGATATGCTTGACTCTTGAATGATGGACTGGATCTTTAGATATGCAGATTGCATTAGTATTATCACGATAAATAGTAATGCAACTAATTTAATTCCAAAATCACGTAAATGTTGTTTAATCCATAAAACTTGAGAGCAGCATGCAGTAGTAGCTACATATTCAGCCTCATCTATAGACAAGGCAATTGTATTTTGTTTCTTGGAACCCCAAGAAACTATACAAGACCTAAGGACCTGGACCATACTTGAGGTGCTTTTCCTATTGGCTAAGTCACCAGTATAGTCAGCGTCAGTAAATCCTCTAAGCACAAAGTCATCACTTCTAGGATAGAACATACACAAGTCATCTATTCTTTTGAGGTATCTCATAATTCTTTTAACAGCAATTAAATGTGATTCTTTAGGATTTGATTGAAATCTAGCAC